AAGCCATCTATGCACCAGATCCAGTATCCATGTAGCCTGCTGGAATGTTAGAACACTGCCAGACACAGGAAGTCAGTGTATCACGATGCGATCACTGCACGACCACAAGGTAGACATCTCTTGTCTGTCCGAAGTGTGACTACCTAACAGTGGCACAAAACTAATCAACGTACCACATAGCAACGCAACCTACCGGTTATACCAAAGCGGCCCAACTGACAACTCCGGTTTGCAAGGGGTAGCAATTGCCGTGAGCGGTCGGGCCAACAATAGAATGATCTCCTGGAAACCAATTTCTCCCAGAATTTCCATAGCGTGCTTCAGGGGAAAGCCGTTTAACCTGACTTTCATCGCTGTATATGCTCCAACGTTGCATGCGGAAGAGCCCATCAAAAACGAATCCTACAACTAAGTTCAAGACGCAGTGAACCGAAGTCCGAGGCGCGACATCCTCGTTATCGCAGGAGAATGGAGTACACGCGCTGGTCCACCAGAGGAACATACTAGGCATGTTCTGGGGAAGTACGGCCTTGGTCAACGTTGCGAAAATGGCGAACGCCTAGTCATATCTGCTGACCTTAACCGGCTGGTCGTGGCCAACACTCCTTTTCAGCACCCCAGAAAACACCTACTCACATAGTGCTCAAATGATGGTCGAACGGCAGACCAGATTGATTATATTTTGGTACGTGCTCATTGGGCCTCTTCGGTAGAAGACCACCGTTCCTATCTCGGCGCAGAAACTGGAAACAGGAACGGTATAGACCATACCCGTGTACGCGCCCGCATCAAGATCCACCTGACTACTCACCGGAAGACTCGTCTTCCGGGCAAATTCAATGTCGCGCTCTTGGAACGACCTGAGAGAAGGCAGGCGTTGCTGGACGCAACCCTTTTCAACATAGCCGAAACTTTCTTTCATGACTCAAGTGTCGACGCACAGTGGTCTACACTGAAAAAGTCAATCGGAGAAGCAGCGCTTGGGCAGTTTGGTGAGATTCCTCGCCACAAGACAGGCTGAATCTCAGAGTGTACACTGCAGTTTTCCACAAAGGTAAGAGATGCGCGGCTGATCAATTCTCCTGAATTTCGTATTCTCCGTCGCCAAGCCACACGCTCCGCCAGGAGTGACCGTAAACAATACTGGAAGGCGATTGCAGACAGTATGGGGGCTGCAACCGTCGCAGCGGACTTTGGAAAGCTATTCCGTCTAATTCGTGTCGCAGCAGGAAAGAGGTAGACATTGGAACCACTGTTGCGCAGCACCATAGGCCGACTTATTCGGGGAACCAAGCAAAAATTGCAAAGGTGGGTTGAACACTTCAACGGGCTGCTCAACCGACCGTCAAACCAAGCTGGCCATCTACAGATGTCAAGCAGTTCGGAGACTTACGACATCAATTGCGACCCAACTAGCACGACAGAAATCATAAATGCAATCACTTCTCTGAAAAACAGGAAAGCCCCTGGAGAAGACGGGATTCCATCAGAGTTATTTAAAGCTTGCTTACCAACTCTGATCAGTCCGCTACACTCTTTTCCATACCATTACTGAAAGAGAAGTTTTACCAAAAGAGTGGACGGCCTCAATTTTATTCCCGGTAGCAAAAAAGGGGGAAAGATCTAGATGCGACAATTACATAGGTATTAGCCTGATTGATATTGCGGCGAAATTGTTTGCAGTGATACTGCTTAATCGCTTCACAGTCGTCAAAGATACCCACACTCACCCAAACCAAGGTTTCGTCGCCGAAGAGGCTGTGTTGAACAAATCTTCACTCTCCGTAGAATTCTGGAACACCGCTACTAGTTCCAACGGCCTACCACTGCATGCTTTATTGACTTTCACGCTGCCTTTCACTCTGTCGACAGAGAATCCTTGTGGTGCATATTTCTGTCCGACGGGATGCCTAAGAAGTTCATCAGGCTTTTAAAGTCATACTACTCAGGAACCCGAGCAGAAGTCCTTACCTATGGAGAAGAATCGGTTGATTTTACCCGAAGCTCTGGAGTTAGGCAAGGTTGTCCCCTATCGCCAGTGTTATTCAATTGCACCGTAGATTGGATAATGCAAGGAGCACTCATCGGCTACCCTGGAGTGCAGCTTGGCCCAGGTACATAGATTGCGGACTTCGAGTTTGCGGATGATGCCTTTGTACTTGGAGACAGCATGGACAAGCTCCAGCCTGTTGTCAGTCATATAAATCAGTTTGTCCAGTCCATTGGGCTAGAGATCAACACGTCGAAAACGAAGACATTTTTAACCGAAACTTCTACCATGACACAACCCCTCTCGATTAACGGGTAGCTTGTCGAATCAACCGAAGTTTTCAAGTATCTTGGCTCTACGATAAGATCAAATGGCCAGGCTAAGGATGGAATCCAACTCCGTGTAGATGGAGCTAGAATAGCCTTCCTTCAACTCCTCAAACCGTTGTGGAATCTATGCAAAATAAGCTTAAACACTAAGCTCCGGGTTTATCAGGCTTCCATCTGCCCCACCCTCATTTATGGTTGTGAAACCTGGCCGCTAAGAGTACAGGATACAAGGAAGCTCGAAGTCTTTGTTCACTGGTGCTTACGCTGCATCTTGAAAGTAAATTGGAGAGATCGGATTTCCAATGATGAAGTTCGACGACGCTGCTTGAACATCTACGAGCTTTTAAAAATGCTACAAAGCCGGCGCCTTCAGTGGTTTGGCCATGTGCTCCGAAGGCCCGACACTCAACTCTCGCGACAGGCTGTAGTCCCCCCCCCCACCATGGCGTTGTTGACTCGGTGGTCAACTGAAGACCTGGATTAGCAAGATCAAGGCAGATTTGGAATTACTGGGTTTTCAATCCGTATATGGAATTCGCAACTGGAACCAGAACTAGGTTTCTCACTGCGTCAACCTTGCTAACGATCGTCATGCATGGGCCGCCTTAATTAGAGACATGCAGGAAGCCGACGTATTCCCCCGCAGGAGTTAGTCTATCAAAAGTAAAAGTAAAGTAGAAATAATGCGGTGGATTTCATCGTGTACAGAGTGAATGAAGCTTGAATTGAGAGACTGTGAAGGTCTTTACAGCTTTCCGACGCGGCTGGGACTCATGAGCAGTGGAACACAACTGAGGAGCAAACCCAGGATCTCACAGCTACACAACAAATCAATCATCCAATTGAATCAAATCCCTTACTACTGCCACGAAACAAGTTTTGAGGCTGGATTATTATCAACTGAATTATAACAGTGGCTAGTACTGAGATGAGCGAGGTGAGATCCTCGCAACAGGCTTGCAATGATGGGTTTCGGTAAATCATGTATAGATAAAATAACAAACAGTCTGATCGGATACCTGGTAGTCAAATGAACAGTATGCTTGTGTTCTACCTGAGAGATCCCGGGTTTAATCCTTGGCTTGGGTCCAAGGATTCCAACTGCACTTATGAGACCCAGTCATTTCGAAACAGCTGTCCAATGTTTCCTAACTTTTTCCTCCATACTTCAGTAACTCTGTACATGGCTAAAGCCTCTACAGAAATCCATTAACAGTAACGGATACTAGAACAACTAAATAGTCGGAATTGAACGGTAGCTTAGCTAAAGGGCAACCGAACACAGTAGCGTGAACAAGTAAACGGTGAACGAATCACTTTGGGACATCCTTAGTCAAAGGTCGCACCAACATCAGTCGTTCATCATATGTTAGGGACTGGACATCAAGTGAACATCAACATGGTGTTCGTAAGGAATGTCTTCTAGCAAAACCAGCAGGTGCTCAAGTTTGCAGAGGTAGTTGCTATCAATTAATGAGAACCTAAACTGTGCAAATGGGATCTAATTCGTAACTTTCAACCTACATCAGGAGGCAGAAAATTTAAACACCAACAACGAAATGTAGTATGCACCTGAGGAGATACGGTGAGCCTTTTCCGGAAATAAATTATGCAAAATTGTGCTGCTGTGTTCTCCATCAGTGTTCATATCCTGGAAAGCATGTTTGGATGAGATTTGTCGAGTGGTTGATCTCTTGCATACGTGAATAGTAATGGCGGTTCGCTTGTTTCTGACTAGTTCGTTACTGAAGCAACTAAGGTGGTGGTGTCAGATAGAATTTATAGTTTATTCGTCAAAACATCGGTATGGTGACCCGGTAGTAACGACACCAGATTATCACCCTGGAGGACGAGCGTTCAAATCCCACCACCACCGCCTGACATTTTGTATGTTGTATGACAGCTCTTTGCTTGCCCGCCTACCCCTTCCTGAAAATTGTATCACTTTGTATTCAATAAAAAAAGTAAAAATGAAAAAGAAAAAAGATACATTTAATTCGTAACATGCAGCGCCTTTAAGCTGATATCAGATGATGTCAGCTTACACAAGAACAACATTTACTCACTGACAGGAGGGCCGTTTTTCGGGATCAACTTCTGTCATCCAGTCCAATATTTCCTCAAACGTTTTATCTTCATCCTATGGGTTCGAAAAATATATTTAAAGAAATGCGTTTCCCGATCTTTGCTCGTTCTCAAGTGTGTAGAATCAAAATGCAGATGTGGCTATCTTCTGACTTTTTAAACGACTGACTGTGAAACACAGCTGACTTCATACAGCATACGTAACTACCACACATGAGACAGCAGTCTCCTGGGGTAGTAATGAAACGCGTGAGCTAACAAAATGTGACTTAAGGAGCACATGCTGGGATCTAACTGGTCAATCACATCTAGATGCCTGAAGTTTTATATTTTGATTTACAGATACTCATATACTTCGCATAACTGAAGACAAAACATTATCTACTAAGAAATCGGATAATCATACGTGTATTCGAAACACTACTCCCGAGAACAGACACGAATGACAGTGCATCTCTCGGAAAGTTGTGGTAGATTGTCCGTTGCCTTCGAACTCAGTGTGAGCTTCTAACGGGTATCTGACAAGCGTAACACCTCTGATCAGGCAAAATGTTGTCCTCGTACTCCCCGGAAGGAGGTGAATGTCACGGGTTGTTGCTGGTCACCCTTCCTTTGCATCCCGCAAAATGCTCCCATACGACCAAGTGTCTGAAATAGCCTCTGCTGAAGAAGCCCCACTAAACACCTTCCCGTGGTGGAAGTGTTCCCCGCCAAAATGAAAGGAAGGAAACAATATCCGGGTCCATTACCGAATCAGTTAGGCATTTTAGTTCTTCTAGGGGATTTGGCTAAAAGCCTTGATTCTAGACCAACCAAGAAGAGGTGCTCGAATCAAATACACGCACCTTCTTCGTTGTAACAGTGATCACCGCCTCAGGGTGTATTGGGTAACTCGGATATTTGACCCCCTCCAAAGGGTATATGAACTTCACACCAGCNCCAGCCCCAATGGATTACATTTTTCACACACCACCCGCTGTTTTGTGGGTCAGGCTTGGGCTGGTCGATGGCTCTGTTTGTGAATTCCCCAAGAGAAGTGATCTGCCTTGGCCTACGCAACCTAGCAGTATTCCGCCCACAAGCAAACCGCGGAACGTTTTTAAACATTATTGTACCTCAATTTATTTCACACACTCTGAACTCAGTCGTATGGGAAATATAATAAACATACATTATGTACTCACTTGGCACTACATATATGTATATCGATGTGTGTACATGTACATATACATCCATACATATGCATAAACGCATATATATAAACCATTAACTCAACTTTGACTTGTGACTTCAAAAATCTTAGGCATGCTTCCACGGTCCAACTCCGGCGAACAACTCAACCAACAAAATAAAACATATTGAGGGCAACTTGAGACTACAGACAATGGCCAGACGGCGAAAGCCTTGTGAAGACCACATCTCGTGAATGAGTGGACAAGATCTGGTACTTCATAGAACAGCTAT